CCGCCACACCCGGCCATAAGGACTTTTTTTGTGAGCTGAAGATATGTGGATTCAGGAAAAAAAAAAACTAAAATATTTAGGTGCATACTTAACATTTCTATGATTAAAAAGTCAGCCTTCACGGTGGCGGGCGCCTGTAGTCCCAGCTACTCAGGAGGCTGAGGCAGGAAAATGGCGTGAACCCGGGAGGTGGAGCTTGCAGTGAGCTGAGATCCGGCCACTGCATTCCAGCCTGGGTGACAGAGCGCGGGACTCCGTCTCAAAAAAAAAAAAAAAGTCAGCCTTCAGATGGGAGGATCACTGGAGCCCCGGAGTTTAAGGCTGCAGTGAGCTGCAGGAGTTTAAGGCTGCATGATTGCATCACTGCACTCTGTACTGGGCCACACAGCAAGACCCCGTTTCTAAAAATAAAATACAAATTTAAAAAGTCAGTCTTGTATTAATGGGTATTCTGTTTTAATTTTAACTTGCAAATCTTTCTAAGAAATTAACAACTTTTAGGCATGTTTGGTAGGCTTACCAAGTTTCAGATGCAACAGCATAATCTTCAAAAGATCTGTGCTTTGAAGAGATAATAGTTACTCCATGTTACAGTTTGGAGGAAGATAGGTGGAGGTAACGAGTGGGGTGGACAGAGCCTAAGTGACTTGCTCAGGGTTACCAACATGATCAGGGGCTGCCAGGGTTTTAAAGTTTATAATTTCACATGGACGACATGTTCTATCCTAGAATGTAGAGGACAAAGAATGGGAAGGTAACTATACAAACAAACAGCTTAGCTACTAAAAGTGAATTTTAAATAAATTAAAACAAGTAGTTTTAAAGATAATATCTATAGGTCAAATGAGAATTTAGGACAGTGTGGAAGAACTCCCCACCATGATAATCATGATCCTCTCTCCATCTCCACCGGGATGGAGCTTCAGTTTTACTGTGTTCTCCAGCATTCGTTCCAGAAATTTGTAGGAAGTTGTCATAGAAATGGGATGGAAGCCAGCTATGTTATCTCTCCAAGCTTCACCAATGTGACCCTGATTTTATCCTGGAGCCAATTTTATACATTCCTTTCTTTCCCCACCCCATCTGCCCATCATAAGCTGCCCCTGATCTGCTCTCTGGTTATCATCATGGGTGGCTAAACATTGCTGCATAATCGGTCCTGGCCATAAAACTAGAAGTACAGCCACATCTTCAGGATCATAGCAATGCCGAAGTGAACATTCCTGTGCAAATACCCCGTTGAACATGTGCAAGTGTGTGTAGAATGGGTTTCTTCAGCTCTACTTTCAACCAAGGGGTGATGGTAAGTGCTACCGAGAGGGTTATAATGGAGGATGGAAGATCTGGGTCCAAGTTTCTGCTCTATTGCAGCAGCACTGAGCTGGCAGAAAGCAGCAGGCAAACACCTCCTTCGTGCTCTTATTAGGGGATGTGGAGAGGCACTGCACAGGGAAGCGAGGCAAAGCAAGAAAAAGTGAGCAGCTTCCCTCACAGCAGCAATCAAGTCACACTGCAGATGGTTAGACAGGCAGGGCTGCATTCATGATCCAATTAACATTGAGCAGAGGCTGCCTTCCACCTGCAAACCAGGGAAAGGAAAGTATGGGCTTTATTATCATTGGCCTCACTGACCAGTGGCTCTCCCTTTTTTTGTCTCCAGAACTCATTTGTTGTCCAGACACCCTCTATCTGCCTCTAATTGAAGCCAAAGGTAGAAGGTTAGAAGACCGGCAGCTTAGGGACATAAGCAGCAGGGCTCTTGCCTGGATACAGTGCCAGAGACTTGATGTCTGCTCTTTCCTTCTACCATCCTACCCCACTCCCCAAGGGCTCTACAACAATAGGCTCTTGATGGGCTAAAGAAGCCTTAGGACCATCCAACTCCATTCTAAACTATAGGTGTAACAGTCAGGGTTCTACAGAGAAGGACCACTGGAAGATATACAAAAAGAGATTTTTGTAACATATTGACTCATGCAATTATGGAGACTGAGAAGTCCCATCATCTGCTGTCTGCAAGCTGGAGGACCAGGAAAGCCAGTCAAATGGTTTGAAGGCCTGAAAGCCAGAGACCTGGTGGTGTAGATTCCACTCCAATTCTAAAAGTCTGAGAACCAGGAGAGCTGAGAGAGAGCAGGAGAAAATGGATGTTCCAGCTCAAGCAGTCGGGGAGAATTAGTTCATCCTGCTTCTATCTTTTTATTCTATTGAGACCCTCAAGTGATTAGATGATGCCATCTGCTTTTCTCAGTTCACCAAATCAAATGCTAACCTCTTCCAGAAATAATGTTTAAACAGTTATCTGGGCATCCTGTGGCCCAGTCAAGTGGATGGATAAAATTAACCATCCCAGTTGGTAAAACAAATACAACTCCCAAAAGGGAGACAGGGACAATCTTTAAGGACACTGCTTTCTCTGGAGGAAACTCTGTACTAAGTTTGTTCAATACAGGGAGGTTCCTGACTTGGTTGGATTCACAAGAAGCAGACCTTGAGTCAAGGATTCATACGCAAGTGATGAGTTATGGGAGTGCTGATGAAAGAGTGGGGCAGCCAGAAAGGGGAGAGAAGTCAAGGGAGAGTGTACTTTTAGGCAAAATCCCAGCTTTAACTTGATGGTGCAGAGGAGCTTTGAAATGCACATTATACCTCCAAGTATGTCCCAACTCAAGGGAAAGAGCCGGGTTTTCATAACCTGTCCCACCTGTCATCTGCTAAGGCCCACCCCAAAGGAACCTAATTTCCCAGGCAATTCTGGCTATCTGCTGGTGTAAGCAAAGTGGCTCAGGACTGTAGTCCCAAGAAAGCCACAGGTGTGGCCATCAGTTAAAAAGTATATAGAAGTCAGAGGATGGCCACAGACACAGCCAGAATCCAAGGGAATCTGGGCAGGAGAAGGGAGGGAGCACCACCTTAAAGAAGAATATGATGGAAAGTAGGAATAACAGAATCTATTCCACACACATATTTGCACATGTTCAAAAGGGCACATGCCCAAGAATGTTCATTTCAGCACTGTTTTTAGATAGCAAAAAATAAAAATAAAACGTTGGAAACCATCTAAATATCCACTAATGGTGGGCTAAATAAATCAATTACAGCATGTTCAGATTATACTATTCAGTGAATACAAAAAATATATGAGATTGTTATGCTCTTCAAGCTATATTATTAAATGAAAAAAACTCAAATTGCAGATTAATAATGTTACCATGCAACATATTTTTTAAAATTTAAAATTAGATGTGTAAATAAATTTACACACATCCATGTGCAAAAATGTCTAGAAAAAGGTCTAGAAAAGTATATGCCAAAGTGAGGAGAGAGTAGGGTTGCTGTGTGTGTCAAAGGGGACTCATAACATTTTATTCAATAGGCTTGATTATTAGAATATTTTCCAGTAACTGTGTGTTTATGTATTATTCATGTAGTTACAAACAAAATTGCCTTTGTAAAAGCAGGTCTGACATTTTGAAATGTGGAGCTGTAACTGATCTATGAACCACAGGAAAAAATCAAAATTTCTCCTTTCCATCCTTACGTTTTTGTTGTACAATGCCCTTGACAGAAAGTGGAGGTAATTTCCAAAGATACCCTGACCCCCAGGAATCAAGATGGCCAAAGGTCATAATAATTTTCTGTGTTCAGTTGACATTTTGTTATGCCACTAAATGGACTCTTATCTTTCAATGTTTTAAGGTTTAAATGTCTTCCATAAATCTGTTTTAGCAGGAAACATCAAGCTTTGCAAGATGGATATTACATGACCCTTAAGGATGGAGCCTAGGACACTGTTTCACATTTGGGGTCTTCTCACAGCCTCTGGTCCATGTTTTCCTCATGGTAGAAGCTGAACCAGTGTCGGTTGGCAGGCTCCCGAAGATTCTTCAGGCACATTGGCACTTTGCTTCCTTAAGGGTGCTAGAATACTTACATAAATAAAGAGCTTACTTCTCAAATATATGTAAATCTTAGGGTACTTTGATTTGGATGTAGCTTGACTTAGTGTAATGTATTCATGGGTTTTTAGGTCTTAAGACTTATATTGAGAAGACAATGGCAAAGCATAGCGCATATAATAATCTTCAAACTGGTAACAAGGAAGGGTAATGAAATGAAATAATAGAGCCAAGTAAGAGAAACGACAAGATCAAAAAGAAGGAATGGGGCCGGGCACGGTGGCTCACACCTATAATCCCAGCACTTTGGGAGACTGAGGCAGGTGGATCACCTGAGGTCAGAGGTTCAAGACCAGCCTGGTCAACATGGTGAAACCCCATCTCTACTAAATATAAAAAATTAGCTGGGCATGGTGGCGGGCACCTGTAATCCCAGCTACTCGGGAGACTGAGGCAGGGGAATTGTTTGAACACGGGAGGCGGAGGTTGCAGTGAGCTGAGATTGTGCCATTGCACTCTAGCCTAGGTGACAAGAGCGAAACTTGGTCTCAAAAAAATAAATAAATAAAGAAGGGATGAAGAGTAGATAAGTAATTTTGTAGAAACTGAGAGAGGATTCTCCCAGAGATGAAGTTACTGTATTTTTTTTATTCCTTTCTACTGTCTCCTTTGCTAAAATGCTCCCACCTCCCAACTTAAGAAATCCACAATCCTGTCTCATTCATAAGTAGCTATGACCCATCTCTCTCCTTTCATTCCCAATCAGTAGTTGTGAATGCTTTCCCACGATCATCACCTTCACAGCTATTCAGCTCTCCCACTTGGCTCCACTCCACCTCGCTTGCGAAGGTGATCAGTATCTTTACAGTTTCAGAATCAGATGGACATTTTTTATTCTGTTCTCACTTGAGAAGCAGTCTGGTGTCATGAAATGAACCTCAGCGTGCTCCTTTTTCGAGATTTGACTTAAATGTCACCTGTTTCAGCAAGGCACATGCCAACATGTCTTCGAAGAGTTGGGTACAGTTTTCTCTTTGTGTTGTTAGTACCAACACATACATTCCATTTAGAACTTCTGTCATTGTCTTATCATGACTTACAGATCTGTCCCCTGCAGTGGCATACGAGGTTCTTGAGGGCAAAGACTGTATCTACCTTAATCCTGTCCCAGTGTCCGGCCAATAGAAGGTATTCAGTAATAGCTATTGAGTGAATGAGTTAATGAATGACTGAATGAATTGGTAAATGAATGCTCATACATAAGTCTGGAAAACAGACACACGAAAGATAATAATTCTTCAGATAGCTAAGAAAGACATAGCCATAATTTGAACTGAGAGGAAGTAAATGAGAATACAGGAAAAAAAGGGGGGCTGAAGAATCCCAAGTTTGGGTCTAAAAACATAAGCCTAGAATATAAAATACAGAAAAACAGTTGGTCTGGGTAATGATTAATGAGGTCAAACCTTTTGAACTAGATTCAATAATAATAAAAAGATTTTCCTTCAGACTCTTTTCTTGTACAAGGTACATGACTCAAGGCATCATTACCTTGTAGTAAAATAGTTCAACTCCACTTAACAGACAGTCTGTGTTGATGACTACTAGATGGCAGGATAGGCAAAGGTTTTGGTTCCAGTGACTCAATATGTAAAGGAAAAATTCTGCCAGATTCCTTGAGTTCCAGGCAAGAGGCCGTGAGGCAATAATGTCAGGGAATCAATGGTTTAGGGCTAATTTCATCAGAAACAACAAAATAAGTATTCGAAGGTGTCAGAACATATTCAAACTTGTATTTCACACTGATATATGTCTTGGTTGTAAGGTCTTAGAAAGAGGCCCACATCTCTCCCTGGTTCTCACATGCCTCCCCTAAAGACGGTGATTAAAAAGCCATTCTTGGAACAACACCTGACCATCCAGTGCCAATGAGGTCAGTATCTTGGCAAGAGATTAGACCCAAGTTGGGTCCGTGTCTGGCCTTGGTGTTGATGTGCCTATCACAGATCTGTTCAAGTGAAAGAACCTAAGAACTTCGCCAACTGTTTCTGGATAGGCCTGCCCCAAAATAGGCAGAGAGTATCAAAGCATGAGGAAATGGTGCTGATATAATAGTAGGCATTATATTATATCAATATTAGATATCAATGACTAGGTATGTGGCATTCTTCCCCACTTGCACCAGCAGATAAAGCCATGAAGAAACAGGTAAAAAGGTTTATCACCTCTTGGCCAAGTATGGTGGCTCACACCTCTAATCCTAGCTACTTTAGGAGGCTGAAATGGGAGGATCGCTTGAGGCCAGGAGTTTGAGATCAGCCTGGGCAACATAATGAATCCCTGTCTCTTAAAAAAGAAAAAGCAGGGGGTGGGGGTGGTTATCACCTCCTGCTCCTATGAAAAGGCTCACTGGAGTCAGTCAAGTCCTATTGCCTACATTCTCAATCTGCTCAGCCCCATGACTGTCTTAAACACATTCTGGGCAGGCAGTATGGACCTGGACATCAGACAGCCTGGGCATGCATTAACCCCTGTTTTGTGTGAGTTTATGATCTAACTCAACCAAAGCTTAGTGTCCTAATCAGTGAAATGGAGATAGTATTAGGAAATCCCTCACAGGGTAATTTAGGAGATCGGTCATGATAATGGATGTAAAGGGCTTAGTACTCTGCCTCTGCCTTAGTGTTAGTTATTACTATTGGTTGTGGGGATCACGAGATAGTCTTCCAATCCATGCTTCCAGTGGATTGGGAGAGAGGGTTTGTTTATGAGCAGTTTGATTCACTGTACACCCATCTAAGTCAAACTGACTCTTATGCATTTTGCAATTTTCTAACAGGTTTTCATCTGCTATACTCAAGGTGGAAATTGTGCCCCAGGCCCACACAGGCTGCCCGTGCCTTGATATGTTAAACTCCCATACATAACCTCATTCACTCGCAGTTGTATTCCTCAATATTCTTGAGCCCAATGTAGGGGCTGAAATAAAAAGGCTGGCCTAGCCACCATACCAGTCAGAGTCTATCAGGGAGGCACAACCACTAGGATATGTGTGCACACATGTGTGTGCATTTATGTGTGTGAATATGGATTTGTTACATAGATTGCTCCTTGCACAATTGTGGGATGGGTTATGTAGTCTCTATAAAGCCTAAAAAACATTGCTGTTATAAAACAATAGTTTTATGGGGCCATTAAAATATATTTACCTGTATAATTTCACTTTCTTTCTTCTTTATTCCTTGCATCTCTGAATTCCTGTCTAATATTATCTTCCTTCTACTTAAAGAACATCCTTTAGAATTTCCCTTAATTCTCTAAAGTGGCATCAAATTTTGTAGTCTAAAATTGTCTTTATTTAGCCTTCACCTCTCGAATATAGGAAAAACAAACTCTTTTCCTCTAAACTCATACCCAACACTTCTGTGACCAGGTATGTGGGTTTTTGTTTTTGTTTTTGTTTTTTCCACATCAACCGATTCTCTGGATACCAAGTGAGTGTCCTAAATTCAACTGCATTCTGACACTATCTACCTGGAATTAGTGTCAGACCCCACAAGTTAAAAGTCCTACAAGACTACCCCCCACTTCAGATGCTACTCAAAAGTCCAGGTGGTTGTCATCCATTCATCCATGCTCCTGACCAACTGGCTATAAATTGGAGTTTCCCATGATCCCCTCCTTGCAGTCAATTATTTGCTAAATTGGCTCACAGAACTTAGGAAACACCTGTGTTTACCAGTTTATTATAAGGGATACAGATGAACAGCCAGATGATGGAGTACATATGGCAGGGTCTGAAAGAATTGGGGTGTGCCACCCCACTGACACACGCATGTAGTCATCAACCCAGAAGCTCTGTATTACCTATAGTTCAGGGATTTTTATGAAGACTTCATCACATAGGAATGATTGCTTACAAACTTAAGCTCCAGATCCTCTTCCCATCCCAAAGGATGAGGTGGTGGGAGCGGGACTGACAATTCCAAGCTTCTAATCACAGCTTGGTCTTCTGGTGACCAGCCCCCAACCAGGAGCCCACTGGGAGTCACCTCACCAGAACAAAAGATGCTTTTATCACCCAAGAAATTTCAAGGGATTAGGAGTTCTGTGTCAGAAATTGGGGTCAAAGACCAAGTATTAGAACAAAAGATGTTACTAGCACCCCTAATAGCTGAGGACATTACAAGGGCTTTAGGAGCTCTGTGCCAGGAAATAGGGAAAAAGACTAAAATATGCATTTTTTATTATGAATCACAATATGTTCTTAAAACATATTTTAGCTGGAGGTGTGTGTGTGTGTGTGTATGTGCACTTTTCTCTTAGTACACTTGAAAACACAACTTTGCTGTCATCCCACTTCTATTGTTGCTGTTGAGACCTATTGAATGTATTGCTGCTCCTCTGAAGGCACTATCTCTTTTCTCTGATTCCTTTTCAGATCTCTTTGTGATTGTTATTCTGCAGTTCCACTATGCTAAGTACCTTTCAGACTTACTGTATATGGATTTCTATCTTTTGAAAGCTTGTGAAAATGTTCAGCCATTATCTTATCAAATATTATGTCTGTCTTATTATTTCTTTTCTTCGCTTCTGAAAGATTCGTTACACCCGTATTAAACTTTATTATTCTACATTTCTTGCTTCATAACTTTGCTTTCAAATGTTCCACGGCTTTCCCTTTCTATGAGGTATTTTGTGTAAATCAAGAGCTATACTCCTATTCAGTGATTCTCTCTTTAGTCATGTCTAACATGGGTGGTGTCAAATTCATTGATGCAGATTTTTATTCCAATTATTACATTTATTTCTAGACATTCTACTTCATTCTCTTTCAAATCTCTTTAGACATTAAAGTTTGTCTATTTTTTTAACATTAAAAGAATTTTAATTCTGTGTCTGATAATTCCAGTATCTAAGGTCTTTGCAGGTCAGTTGCTATTGTTTGTTGTTTATGCTTATTCACCTCACAGTACCTTGTTTCCTTAAATGTTTATTATATTTTTCTGTGAGCTACTTGTTTTCCTTGGAAATTTATTTGAGGAAATTCTTTGATGTCTGAAATTAGGGCAGATTCTTTCCTAAAGGATTTATACTTACTTTTGTCAGATGCTTGGAAAACCACTAGTCCAGTGTCCCTTGAAGCGAAATTTTTACCTTGAGTGTGTTGTTGTTAGAGTTGTTGTTTTAACTAGATAGTTTGAATCTGTGCTGCAAGTGAGACAGGAATTAAGCAGGACTTATTTTACAGGACCCTGCTTATAAGACAAAGTGCAAAAAAGAAGCCAACCAAAACCCATCAAAACCAAGATGTGACAAAAGTGACCTCACTGCTCATGATACATTAACTGTAATATATTAGCATGCTAGAAGACACTCCCACCAATGCCATGACAGTTTACAAACACCAAAGCAAAGAAATTATCTTATATGTTCTAAAAGGAAAAAGAACCCTCAGTTCTGGGAAATCCTCACCCTTTCCCTGGAAAACTCATGAATTATCCACTGCAGCTTTATTAAGTCATCAAGAAATAACCAAAAAAATAGCCAATCAGCAGCCTATGTGGGTTGCTCTGCCTACAGTGTAGCCACGCTTTCATTCCTTTGCTTTCTTTATAAACTTGCTTTCACTTCGTCAGCTTGGTTTTGAATTCCGTCCTGCGTGGAGTCAAGGACCCATGTGGCTTCCTGAGCTGAGCCCCACTTTTGGGGTTTGCCCTGCCCCATAAGTGTATGTGATACAACTTTGCAGAGGTGGGTTTTCCCAGCTCTGTTCTGCACCAGGAAACTGAGCAATTTTCCTTGCAATGCTACAGTGTGGTAATGGGGGACGTGCATATTGCTGATGGAATGAAAGCCAAACTCTGTACAATATTTAAAGAGGTTTATTCTGAGTCAAATATGAGTCACCATGGCCTACAGCACAGCCTCCAAAAGTCCTGAGAACACATGCTCAAGGTGGTTCGGTTACAGCTTGGTTTTATACATTTTAGGGAGACAGAAGTTATAGACAAAGACATAAATTAATACATTCAAGGTATACATTGGTTTGGCCCAGAAAGGTGGGACATCTCAGAGTGGGAACTTACAGGTCATAGGTGGATTCAAAGATTCTCTGATTGGCAATTGGTTGAAAGAGCTAAGCTCTGCCTAAAGAGTTGAAGTCAGCAGAAAGAAATGCTTGAGTT